AGAGAGTGTTTGAATTATTTTTTTTTTTTTTTTTCTGATATGTATGTGTCTGTCTGCATGAGGATCTTCTTGTGTCTGTACTTAATATGTAACCGCGCTTTCCAGTGAGCATTTGTGAATGGGTGCCTGCCTGTGTATGCTCTAAACCATAATCTGCCCAACCCTTTTACTTTCATTTCATCTCAATTTACATCTAAAAAGACCCTTAGACTTCATAACATCAGTAATCAACAACACACTTTAAAAACACGGTTACATCACCAGGAAGTTGAAAACGAGAAAGAAAAACGAAAAACATAATTGCAAAATTAGACCCACCTCTGCTCTAATTTTCCTTCGATAATCTATGTTACTATTTTCATTTTCTTCCGAAAGTACGGCCCAGCATGGCGAAAGAGATGAGAGAGAGAGAGAGGGAGAGAGAGAAACGAAAATACGGAAATTGTGAAACAAACTGGTGTGAGAACTTTTGCTCATGTTTACAAATTTGCTTCGAGCGTTTCCAAAGCATTCGAATCTGAGTTCGGAACAGGTTTCACTGGTTCATTCGGTTCTGAGACTGACATAAAATCCAGTGTATGTGGTTTATGTGTTCGTCTTTATGTTTTGCGTAATTTAGTATTTGTTTCAGTGTGTGATTTGTAAGACCTGTTGTTTGGAGATATTAGGGTTAACTATCTAGGAAATATAAAAGGCTTATTAACATTTTCTGAATCCTGGAACACGTAAATTAATGTCAGTAACAACGCTTTCTTTTGTAGACTAATATATTTATATACATACATACATACATATATATATATATATATATATATATATAATATATATATATATATATATATACACACACACACACACACACACACACACACACACACACACACACACACACACACACTCACACACACACACATTATATATATATATATATATATATATTATATATATATATATATAATATATATATATATACGAAATGCAAATAATAATAATAACAATATCATAATTACTGACGATGATAATAGCAATGATAACAATAATAGTAACAGTAGTAGAAGTAGTAGTAGTAGTAATAATAACAATAAAGAAAATAATAAAAATAATAATGATAATACAAATAGGATGATGGTGATAATGACGATGATGTTGAAGATTTTATTTGTTTAGCAAATATACAAACGATTCTCTGCACAGATAGTTTGCATGTGAATTCATAATCAGAATTTCTCTTTTATGCATATACGTAGCGTCTTCGTGGCGACTTCCTATCCATCTACATCGGCATCTTTAGAAAGCACATCACGCTTGTATGTATCGAGACGCCATGACCAAAATTGAAAAGTAATGAGCACAGATTTGTCTGATTCTGGGTCGCGTCTGCCTTGCTTGCGGCGTGACTGGTGTTTTGACAGAGGCAACGCGGGAACGGCAGTTTTGCTTGTGATGGATATTATTTGGGGTTATTTTGGCGATCAAATAAACAAATGTACGTAAATACATGTATAACGTACATGACAAGTTCACGCTCACGTACATAGTACACTAAAACACATTTAGGATATATATATATTGTGTGTTGTGTGTTGTGTGTGTGTGTGTGTGTGTGTGTGTGTGTGTGTGTGTGTGTGTGTGTGTGTGTGTGTGGTGTGTGTGTGTGTGTGTGTGTGTCGAGAGAGAGAGAGAGAGAGAGAGAGAGAGAGAGAGAGAGAGAGAGAGAGAGAGAGAGAGAGAGAGAGAGAGAGAGAGAGAGAGAGAGTATGCATGTGAGTGTGTGTGGTTGCGTAAGTGAACGATTTGAGTTGACTACAACAATAGTATATTTCTCTACCGAAAACGAATGAAATCCTAGGCACGTATCCCCTCCATCATCTGAAGACAATAACCGCTTGCCAAATAAAAGAAACAATTGTATGCCTCTATTTATTCTGATGGTCAACTCATGCGTGAGACGTTTAAATTCATCGACTTGAAGCAGATAAAGATCCCGGCAGGTGATGTTGTGGAAGATAAATGGCAATGGTCATTTACTAACTTTCCCGCCATTTTTTTGTGCGCCAAAAGATCCAGCCCAGTTCAGATTCGATTCTTCTCCTTTTTTTCTATATTCTTTCTTTACTTCTGTTATTTTCCTTCCTTTTCTTTCCCTTCTCTTTTTTTTACTCACCGGCGGAACTAGTAATGCAAGAATTATTCCTCAAAATATGGAAATTCCAAGCAATTTTTGAGACGAAACGCTCCGACTGGAACATATAAAGTGCCACTCAAAATTATCGGACAAATTCCCCCTTTCTTTTCGCTCGCTTTTTTGCTTCTTCTTTTCATCGCATCCGCCAGATGTCAGACGGAAGATATTTATCTTTGTACAGTCTCTCATTTTGATATTTTTCTTTCTCTTACTTTAATACAAGGAGTTTCTTGGATCTCTCCGCATCTGTCACGTATCTGTCGCCATGTGTGTTTGGTCGGATGTGAAGGCTTGCGCGTGGCCGTTTGCATGTGC